AACTTTCCCAGAAGCCAATTAACTTACCAGTATGGTTTTGAGCTGTGGGAGGAAAAAACGTGTTTGCTTTAAGGCTATTCCTCGCTCTCTCCTTAAGATTGCCCACCATTTTCTTTTCTAAATGGTAAATTTAGCAGCTCAATGAAAGAGGTCCTTTGTTTTATCATGGGGTGTTTTTTTTTACTTTTACGTTTATGATAAAATGCCATATCCACGTATCTGTTAGAAGGAACTCTAGTAGTGGGTTGGACGTTAACTGGGTTTTACAATGACCGTTTTCGAGCTACTGTAGGTCTCTGATCTGTTCAGGACGGTAGCAGCCTGCAGGGCTGTGGGCCACCAGTGACTGGCAGATGCCCTTCTCCATGTGCCACACTGGTGTCACCAAGGCATGGCTGCAGCAGCAGCACAGAGGGGAGCAGCACTGAGCCAGGCCAGATGGAGTATAAATAATGGGCAGCCGACACTTGGGAGGCACACCTGGACAACCTGCATCGCGATACAAGGGCCTCATAAATCTCTGATGCAGGAGAAAGAAAAAAAAGACGGAAATCAGCTCGGCTGAGCAGCAATCACTTAAAAGCAAAACTATTAGACCCCCAAACTAGCTCACCCCCTACCATTACACAGAGGTACTCAATGATTTGTAAAAATAACTCTTAAGCACATTTGTGTTTAATCAGTCTCTCTTTTCTAAGTGATATCTATTGTCCTGTTTTCAGAGACACCAGCAGGCAAATTCTGTTTAGGCTTGCTCTGCAGAAACGACTTTATTTTTTGTAAAATGTAATGAAATTGGATCACACTCCATATACACTTTTTTTTGCTGACTTTTGCATAGTTTGTTCTTGCAGTGCAATGAATATTAATTAGTCAGCTGCTGTTTTATTATGGTATTGTGCAGAACAGCACAACATGATACAGAAGATTATTGGCTTCAATGGTTAGCATGCAGTACTGTGAAGGTTTTCAGAATCAGTGACTTATTTTCCTGTTCCTAGAAGCCTAATACCATATTAGCCAAACTAACCTTCTTTTAACTGGTCAGACAGATGCAGTGACTGAAATTGTCTTTCTTTAGATTCACCATGCAGTGCATGCAAACAAGCCAATATGTAAAAAAATTAGTCATGCACATTATGTCAGCCTGAAGACCTTGAATGGATAATCGGGGATATCCTTGCCTGATCCTGATCTTGGATAGCCCCAATCCAGAAGCTCTTAAAAGCTTCTTAAATCATGAGTTATAAAGACTGAACTGTGAGTTTTCGATCAATATAGCGAGCTTGAATAGTTTAATTACCGGAAACCAGGAGTGATCCTTAAAACCTACATGTTGTGAATTGTTTTTCTTTTTCAAATGATCTTGAATCACGTGACTGAACAAATCACCTACAAAGAAACTGCTCCAAATGCTCGCACATGTTTTATATGTAACACTACAATACTTTTTGGTTTCCCAGGTTCTATCCTTTATTGACTCATTCTTTTCTGTTGGGCTCCCAACAAAATGATGGTCAAAGCACCGCTGGATGTCATGGAGATAATGGAAGTCCCAGAGATCAGGATTATTTTTTTTCAGCTTTTGCAGCTACTTTATGTACCAGCTATGTGCTTTTTGCCTAAAGCAATTCACTGCATCATAAGTTTATGGCCAATTATTAATTTAAGGTGGAACCTTTTCCAGCCAAACCAAAATCATTTTAATACCAACTAACCAGAAAGTCTATGATTTTAGAAGACAAAAAGTTGGCAATTCTTCTAAATTGAAACTCCCAAAACGCTAATACAAATGGCTCATTTTTTCTTGTTAGCAGTTACTGCAAGCAAATATTAACTGCTGGTGCTACTGAAAACAATTTAATTCATGGAGAAATCCAAGATGTTTTGGAGGAGGCATTTTCATGAGAAAACGGAAAGAGTACATAAACACTAACAACCTCTCTGACATTGTGTTACATAAGCCAATTTGCTGCATGCAATAATTGCCAAGTATAAACTCATTCTGTGATTACAGCCTTCCTCCTCTACTAATTCCTTCAGAGAAAACAGGAACACATTTCCAATTTGTAGTTTGTCTAAACATTATTGTCAATTGTTAGTGTGCATATTTTTAACAAACGTACCATTTGTAGAATGCCTGCAAAATGACAAATGCAGTTTTCACACATTTCACTACATTTCACTAAAACAAGTATGCTAGAACATAAAATTGACTATATCATAGTAGGAAATAGACTGATATATACATTTCTGCATGCCTGATAGACCTTTGGGACCTATTTCATCAGATAACCAAGTGTTCAACAGTAGAGTATACTGAAATAACTTGTTTTATATGGGCTGTTTTTTATGGTAGTATAAAGGTGTTTATATCATTCAGACTTGGAAAAAAATAATGAGATGTCTCCAGGTGTTCAAATCACAGATATGTGGCAAAAATATTCCTGTTTTCATGTCAAGCTTTTCCTTTGTTGGGTTCTTTTAAGCACAAACATACTATTTAGTCAGTGCCAAACTAGATGAACAGGTCACCAGTTAATGAGGATACTAACTGATTTTGTCTAACCAATGCTCCATTTGTGTGTGCTGAAGGCCATGGTTCCTACACTTCCTTAATATATTCCATTAAATATTTATTTTCAAAATGTGCGTCATCTGGATCATATCAGGTGCTTCACCGGGACTGTGTTTACGTAGGAACTGGCTATATGAAGGTACCTTTCAGAAACAGCTCATTTTAAATTCTGTATAACTTCTGGTCTTTAGTATTGGATCAACCTATTGAGATATACTCAACTGCTGTTACATTCTTGATTTGATTGTTGATTTAAGGGAGTTAACATCAGAAGAAATATTGAGTAATATTTTATATTGATTATAACTTCACTCTTGCTGTACAGGTGCCATTGTGCCAGTGTAATGAAATGCATCTATTATCTGGATTTCTTTGAACTGTTTATTGTATTTAAAAACATGAATAATGATCTTCAGTATATTTCAAGAGTTGAATTAAGAAGACATACTGTAAACTACAGTAACATAATCCTACACTCAATCATAACATACTGTATGTGAGGATACACTTGACTTTATTAGATAATTCCAACATCACACCAGCAAAAATGTAAAAAGGTAAAGCGAAATTGTGATTATTCAGCTGAATAACTAAACACATACTGTACATTATGGTAGCCTCTGATTTGGAAAGGATCAAGTGCTGGTAAGGGAGTCTACAATCTGCTAAACTCGATGGGAATTGGTGGAAATGCATGAATTTGAAAGCTCCTGACACCCTTGATGGGTTCAGATCCATCAACTCTGACAAGAGATTAAGCAAAAAATCGAAAACTCATCTTCACCAAGTTCAGCTGCTGAAGCTACACTGGGTGTGACAGAAACATCCAGAGTATCGAAAAAATGCATTTATGGAGTCTATTCAAAAGGCAGAACGGAGCAGTCTTGAAAAAACAGCGCTGACAAATTAAAGGCGATAACATTCGTCTTGGTGCTCAAAGCTTGGGCTTCAGCATTTCACTTGAACTTTGACCCCTAATCTCCACCTATGTCCTCTATTCAAGAGGTGATGCTGTCCAGACATACAGTGCATAAGCTCAGTGCTTTCCCTTTGTTGCTAAACTCTTTGTTGCATTAGCCTGGCCTTTTAAATAAGATTATCAAGCGCAGAAGTGTCGCTAAGTAGGATATAAAATGTAAGCCATTATCTGGTATTATCTCAGAATAGCCTCCCCATCTATCTGCTTGCCACCCACTCACTAGTCCTGGATCAGATGCATTATTAGCTGGAGAATACAGTTTACATACCTCTGCTCTCTGTCTAGCTAGGAAACTCTGGGCCAGCTGAATTCTGGCAGCCACATCACCGCCCGTGTAGGGCCAGAGAGAATGTGAGAGAACTGATTCCAATCAAACAGGTGCTTTCAACCAGGGTGCAGTAAACCACTCGGGCATTTTTTCGCTGTCTCCGTGCTTGGCTGCCTCACAGCTCTTTATCACATGAAAAACTTTTCAAAGTAAGTTGATTGATTCCGCACAGTGATCTGAATGTGCTCACCAATTTCATGAATCTGGATTTAAGAAACGTGTCTCAAAAAAGCTGATATTTTTATACCTATACCATCTTGTAAAAAATCTGAGGCCTATGGTAGACCTTGTTTTTTATTCCTTTCATTGTCACAAAGCAAGAGCATTTAACTGTGGCTCACAATAGCCACAACCTGTCAAGTGAGTATGAGGCAGCATACTGTGTTTTTACTTTTCACAAAGAGTATAATGAAAAGATCACAGCAAAATCGAGAAAGTCATTTTGATTGATATCATCAGCAAACCCAAATCTAGGAAACTCACTCTGCATCGTCTTTCTTTTCCTTCAAGTTTAGCCTAACAAAAGTGACTACAACTACAGTTTGGAGCAGGTCATTAATCAAAAATCAAACCTTGAGGTCACTTCAGAGACAGACTCTTTTCCTTTCTTTTGCTTCTTCTTTTGATTCGGAAATCCAGCATGGCTTTCCAACTGGTGAACCTGCATTATTTCAGCAAAATCAACTTCAAGGGAAAGACAAATAATATAATAATCAGAGAAAATATATTTAAATCTTATTACTGTCTCCCAGTAAAGCCTCTCTCACGTTGCCAGCACTAGCCAGTTCTGCCTCACAAAACTTATTTCACAGGGATTAGGCAAGAATAAATTAAGAAAAAAGTGAAAATGTAATACCTCTTTTGCTTTGCTTTTGATTGCTTTTCTGTAATTGCTTGAACAATAGGGCAATAACAAAACACTTATTACAGGGAAGTGTATGAATGTTTAAAAAAATGGTGAATGGAAACACCTTTCCCCTCATTTCCTCATATGAGTGTTTCTTCTCAGTCCAGCAAAAATTGGAAGCCAATGTGCAAAGAACAGGCCAGGGCTCAGTTTCCATCCAGGTGTCTCAGTTTAGCCCCAGAGCCCCCCTCTGTCCTCACTGAGTTACCTGTGATCTTGTCCCGGACCAGCTTGCAGGACTCAATCTCTCCGATGCTGCCGAAGAGGCTGCGGAACTCTTCCTGGGTCATGTTCTGGGGCAGGTAGTTGACGATAAGGTTGGTCTTGCTGTCATCAGTGGAGCTGCCAGTCTGCATGGGGGACGGGCAGCTCCGGCTGTTGCTGGAGGGCCCATTGGCTGTGGTGGCCGTCGGGCCATTTGTGACCTGAGGCTCCATGTTGCTGATTATCTGGGAGGAGAACAAGAGAGGCCACTCAGTCCAGGAGGTTGAAGAACCAGGATTGTGGCCTATATTTGCACCCACTGACACGGAACTGCTGTCCCTAACAGCAAACAAGTACAGCTTACCCACAGTGCCCCCAGCCCTGAAGCAAAACTAATGAAACCTCCTAAAAAAATACATCTTCTCTACTTTTGATATAGTCAAATCTGAATCCTCTGGGACACAGAGTTTTTCAGATATACGAAGTCGCCCTTTCTTGAAATATTCAGGGAAACAATGAGAGCCCTTCAGCATGGCTTTGCTGTCATGTGGAACAATGTTTGCGGCTCGTTTAGCAATCTGGTTGAGGAGCAGGTGTTTGAAGTAGAGCTGATCACCCCTGGGGAAAGAAACTGAAGAAGTCAGAGTCTGGTGCGCTTATCTTCAAGCAAACACTTATTTTAAGATTCTGACTGCCACCAAATGTATTCATCCATTAGCATAAAATGTGCGTTTAATTTTATAATTTGAATCATCGTTACAGAATGCTAATTTCTATCACCCAGTTATCGAAGCTGTGCAGCTAAAGCATTGCGTGTCGGATGTGCTGGTTTTGCTCACTGTTGTTTTAAACTCTTTAACTACATCATTGTTGTTCAGGTTCCTGTCTGCCTAACAGAACATACTGTAATAAAGGTTACAAATGAGAAGAGGCCATTCAGTCACTTCTGTCCTGTTTTGTAGATGGTATCTAATTGGGCCCAAGGCTGTGTGTGAGGGGATAACATCACAGCATGAAAGGTTTGAAAATTTCATGCAAAGCCCAGAAGAATATGAAAACATGAGGACCGTTTCTTCAATAATTTGATCAGGTCAATGAACCTTCCACAGTCTTTCAAATCTTCAGCAGAGATATAGAGATATATAAGGTTCCCTTATCCTCATCCCCTGCCAGTTTGATACCAACATATTTTGATTTGAGTTTTACTTAGATAACTGAGGTAACACATTTATGTGTATAAGTGTAGAACATAGGAGGTTAAACTGAAATTTAGATTACACCATTATGAAAAAACAGGATGGCAAATTCAAGGGATTTAAATACATTAGAAGTGATCATATTGGCAACCCTAACCTGTTATGTGATATTCAAGCCAGTTAACTCCTCATTAAGTCTTAATTAAAAGTTATAACTGCAAAGAATAATCTGAAAGCCTAAAATTAGAGCTCACAATAATATGTAAAGTAGTTGTAACATATTCAGTCAGCATGTTTAAAAAATCGTGTTTAAATAATTTGGCCAAAATAAATATTTTGCAAACTTTAGTATGGGAAATCTAATAAAGAGATTAATGATAAGTGAAACTAAAAAATATTTTTTCCCCTCCAAATTGTCACCATCTTTTCTACATTCATGGAAAGTGAAATATGTTAAGCACAAAAATCCCTAAATGTTTTTTGTTATCTAACTTTAAACCCTCTCAACAATTTACTAAAAATAAATTGCTTACGTTACATTATTCAATGATATGTTGTTTCCCATTTCATAGCAATAACTCTTATTAACAATTTTGATAATTGAATCTCCGAATACTGGAAAATATCATTTTGTGAAATCTGTTTTGTCATTGTGTCAGCTTTATCGCAAGGTTTATACCTCTAATAAAGAGAAAAACAATTGGATAAAAAAGATTCAACCATATAAATCTATATCAATAATTCTCTCTGAATCTGTTTTTACACAGGTACAGTAGTTGATTTAAAACCGAGGTATAAAAATAAACCTGTGTCATATATACAATATATTCTTTGTATGCCTATAATCAACACTGGACACCTATAGCATATGGGCCGTTGTTGCAAATGTATTGTGTCCATCCATTCATGCTGTAACTGCTTCATTCAATTTAGGGTCATGGGGGAGCTGGAGCCTATCCCAGCAAGTAACAGTTAAAAGACAAGGATGTAATACATCTTGGTGATCAAATAAATCATTTGAGAGAGGACTGTCTTTCAGAATATACCCAGATATTTAATTAGCAAAGTGTATCAACTAATGACTAAACTACAGCAGGTGATAAAGAAATGCCTACACCCCCTTTCATCTGTCAGATGTTCCGTTCTTCAACTTAAAAATAGTGTTACAGGGACTCACATTATAGACTGTGCAATATGTTGAATTGTACAACTGATGCTAGGATTACTGGATAATAGCTTCTAAATTCTACAGTATTTTCAAAAATTGCCAATAAAATCTGTGGAAAGCCAGTCACAGAAGATTACAGAAATATGAGAACTGACAGATTTAACATGGGTTTTGGCATTCTGTCACATAATTTAGAATACAGACAACATCATTTTGCTTAATGTGCTTTTTAAAAATATATAACCCAAAAGACTCTAAGCAAAATATTCAAATCAGCTTTGTGAAAATGATAAAAAAATGCTTCAAGAAAACATCAATGCACATACTGTAGTGGCACAAAAAAAAAACATTTGTAGACAATACTCCATTAGCAAACAGCTGGTCCAGGTAGAAATGCAGGTGGAAGTGTAGAGCAGTGGTTAGGCTTCTTGACATATACCTGAAAGATTGTGGGCTCAAATCCTTCATGAGACACGGCTCCTGTGCTTTTGAGTGAGGTTCTTCACCTGAATTGCTCCACTAAAATACCCAGCTGTATTAATGGGTGTGACTGTACGTTGCTCTGGATAAAAGCACTAGCTAAATAAGTAGTTAAGAATGTTCCTCAATATTATATCATGTTTATTTGTGAGTAGGGCACTGCAAATACTTAAGTATAGATACTCAAATATCAATTGCTAAATTTGAAGTTCAGTCTACTTTTAATGTGTTTTATTTAATATTTTCAAAATGCGTCAAAATCTGAAATTACTTTCAATCTATGAAAGGACAAGACACCTGAAGAGAAACTCATCAAGTTTTTTTTTAAATTTTATTAAGAGTTTTTTTTTTCATTTATGAAATGTGTTTATGATACCTGCAGAGCTTTTCAATCAAAAAGCACTCAAAACTCAACAGGACACCAGCCTTAAGGTTTCAATGAAAGATCACATCTTTCACCATTAGTTCAAGCAGACTGCCGTGTCTTTTTCCAAATTAATCAAACCCTGGTAACCATTCCTTTTCCTTTTTAAGTCCTCTATTCACCCCTAAAAGTAATGGAAACTACAAGTATTTCAATTATATATATAACACTATCTGAGTGATGAAGACAAAACCTTGCCATTGATAAACCATTTGTTTCTGTCTTTGCTATATTTATTGCTTAAATACAGTGCCAACATTCACATGACTAAGCTTCAGTGTCAATTTGAGGTCAAACACAGCCTTCAATAGAAGGCTCTCGACTCCCTATCCTGACTTGATTCTTTTTTGCTAGGCTCAGGTAATGATATGTTGAACCCTGATCCATTTGGACTCCTGGTCAGTTTGTAGCACTGACATCACAAGCAACCTTATTGCTTTTCTAATCTGTCTGAAGTACTTTAAAATGTGAACAGCTTAAACTGTTAACTTTGATCATGGGCTGCTTGACATAAGCCTAAATACTACTTCAAACATCAGAGTAGCACCATATGACTACACCTAGTCTGTGAGGTGTCTAACTTTGTTACAGTTCCTGAGATATACAATGTTAAGAGTCTAGGCTCTATGTGCCGGATCCATCTTGCTTGGGAAACATATTAGCTGAAGCGGTTCAAAGATTAATCCTACCCACTGCAGGTTAATTTTATATTTTCTTTAAATAAAGATTTTAAGTAAAATTACCATTTGCTCCAGACGAAAGAGAGCTTACTACTTGTGTGAAAATAACAGGGAAAGGTTAATGATGTAAATCTAGTAAGAAACAACGTAGGTGTTAAAAAGAGGATTTATGTTTCACTCACTTGAGTCTACTTGGGAATTAAAAAATTGTGCAAAAGTTGTGTAACAGACAAAGTCAAATATTACCTGCATCAACATACTGTATATGTAGATACACGGACACATCTTAAGTAAAACAAAACTGGCTGATATAGCCTAATTAATGACAAATAACTAATTAATTTTGGCAACATGACAGTTTTGGTATTAAAACGTACTGTATTTTTATGTATAGAGAACTAAAACTACAAATGGTATGCTCATTAAGGCTTTGAGAGTAAAGGCCTGGAGCCTCAGGAAATAATTGCCCAAACCATTAAAAATAAAAATCATTGAGTAAATGTGTTGAAGCCGTATCAGTGTAAAAACACTGCCTTCAAGAATGTCTGTAGGTGGGAGTCTGAAGAGAAGCAGTTCGCCTGCAGTTCTCCAATTTGGGTAGGGGTTAGCCATGCAGAGATGTTGAGAATCCATAGGGAGTGGGTGTAATTCAGGTGTGATTCATAGTGTATTTATGTCCACAGAACTTTCCATTTCTAAGGGTTTCCCGAATGCTGATAAATTTTTGGATACATAAAATATGTGTAAAAAGTAGCCTTCTAAAGTTATTCAATTCGGTCTCAGGTTTTGTTCTGCTATCTTCATTTAAGAGTCTTCACAGGCCCAACACACTTTAGAAAGAAACATCTTTACAAGCAGGTAATAATTAGGCAGAACAACTGTACATAGCAGGTGCAAATTATGCAACTGGATTCCAAGATAGCTGGCCATTACTTAAGCGTGCAAAATAGCATCTAAACAATTTAATCCAAAACATCTCATTTATGTAGCAAATTGTATGTTTTCACACGATAGAGATCTCACAGTTCTACCCAGCATTAGTCTTCACTTCCAGCATCAATGCACGATCTAGCACCGCAACAGGCTACATCAGAGGGAAGCTTAGCACCGCGTTTGAAAAGGCGATTTGTGACTGTCTCCTTACCATCTTTGGCTGTGTCAGCATTCCCTTCTCTGCCCAGCCCTGCAGCTGTGGGAGCTCTGCCTGACGCCACTGTGTCTCTGTCGATCCCTAGGAGGTTTCAGGTCAAGATTTAACATGCCGTTCTAAAGGGCTAGCCATTATTTCAAGCAAAACCCCACGGTCACCAATAACGCCAAGACCCACCGATGACCCTCTTCTCACACTGCGTCACTCCGGTTCCACTCAGCATGGCAGCCCTGTGATTTGAGCCAGTCCTAATTCGGTTTGGATCTTCTAGTTGTTTTGTTTGTTTGTTTGTTTGTTTGTTTTTTTGCCGTTCCAGTTTCCCTCACGTTGCCGAAATGTCAATTAGCCACCGGAGCGAACCGTGTGAGAACAGACCCTCCGGGTTAGGTAAACAAGGTTTTCGACAAACCTCCGAGGTGAAAAGGAGCATGCCGAATGAATTGCAGATGTGGTACTGGTAGCTAAATCAGCCAATTTAGGAGAAAGGTGAGACCATTAGGGTGACCTTTTGTTCTGGAGACAAATGAAATTGGAGAAATGCACTGAAGAGCATCCGGGAAAACAAGAGCAAAAGAGGGAAGAATCATTTGAGCAACTGGAAAGAGGAGGGGGGGGGGTCATTCAGATTCTTTTTAACTGTTAGTTGAGATGTGCAAAAGCTGCACAATCAATTGTATCAATTGGCAAACCAATATTCCAGTTTTGCGGTATACCGTTTGGATGGCATAGGGAGTTTGTATTATTGAAACACATCCTTTCCTTTCCAGACACCACCCTTGTTTTAGCATTAGTGAAGACCGAGGGCTGTTATACTGTATATCATAGTTTTCTTTGTGAAGAACATTGTACACATACATTTTAAAGAGGATGGTTTGTTATGTACTGTAGATCTACATTTTACCAGGCTATGACTAATCCAACACCTTGCTATTCTTCGACATTATGAACATCTCTGTACTTTGGGGTCAAATAGATATGTGAGATCATTAAGCTCTCTGCCAAGCCCGGCCTGGCCTCCTATCCATGGTGGCTGATAGCTGGTATGACACAGTCTACAACCTCCGTCTGATAGCTGACCCTGCTGTTCTCCATCTCCTGCTCACAGTACAACATGCCTGGGGGCTTTCAGTTATATTACATACAGAGTTCACCTCAGATACTGCTTAATAACCTGTTCCAAACAATGTTGCCAGTTGCTTTTTTATTTTCCCTCTAGAGATAAAATGATTCGTAATGGGTTTCAGTGAGTGAGATAAGTTTTAAGTGACCTCTGTAGATGAAACCCACTGTTTTATTTTTGAACTCAAGCTCCAACTATAATTTCAGGGGGGACAACTAGGCAAGTGCATAGTCTTCCCGCTTGGAAAATCCCAGTTTGGGAGGCATTATGTATATCAAGGAATTAAGACAGAACTAAGCCAGAAGTGTCAAAATTAGAGTATCAAACGGAAGTCATTCTTAGCCCCTATACAGTAAATCATTCTTAGATGAGACAAGACATTAAATAATTTCCAGTCACATGTCTCTGTAATGGCCCGACTTTCAATAAGAAATGTTTGTAATTCACTGGTGCAAAATTCACCCCCAGCTCAGTGTCAGCAGGGATGTGATACCAGCAGTTCAGGGCTTCCTTTTATGTTCAAGGCCATTTTAAGCCTCAGGAGTATTGTTTTACTGAATGCTTGAGGTTACAAAATTAAAAGAAAAAAAATGACTGGAAAGCAAACACAGAAAAAAACAGAAATGTGCAAACATTGACAAATCATTCTTCATTTTCACTGGCTTGCTTCAATCTACTTTGTACTACCACAAGGGGGTTAAAGCATGTGTGATCCAATATAAATGAAATCAATAAAAAAAAGGCCATGTTTGACTAGATCTCCTTTGATTTTAGTGAGTGGGGTCCAAAATGGGTCAAATATTGAAGGACTAGTGCAGCTGAACAGGAGCCCTTATACCAAGTATTTACACTTTGACCATGGGAAATTTCATCAAAATCAAAGCAGGTTGAGAATTCTGGTGACGAACTTCACATGAAATGAGCCTTCTTATTTGGCCTGTTTTCTTGCCATTTGAAATTTTAAGATGCATTTTCATCATTTAGCCCAGTATATCTTATCAATCGTCCTGTGTTAGTTGCTTCATAACCCATTACAAGCTCTTTACATCTGTAACTGGGCCAGAGCCTGATTCAATTCATTGCTCAATATACAGTATGTAAGGAACTTGCTGCCTTGGGAGGGTGTGTGGTGGGAAAGCAGGAGAGCTCATGCTCTTTGGCAAATTGTCTCCCCTGTAAGTAACTCGCTCTTATCAGACATAGCTGGAAAGGGTAAAATATGCTGGTTAATTGAGGATGAATTGTGGTCACTGAAGCAGAAGTAGTTTGCAGCAAGGAGTATGAACTCTGTTTAAAGGGTCTGAATAAGTGAAAAATCAAGCATGCTCATTAACATAGAATTTCCTTTAAAGTATATTAACAAGCTTAGAATAAAATGGATGCAGAGATGATAGGATGGTAGAGACAGGGAAAAGATACTGCATGTAAAAAAAGAATTTATGTGTGTATATATACTAGTAGTATATATACTAGTATTGTTCAAACACTTGGGTTATTTCAATGACAAATCAGCTTTTAATTCTTGCGTATATATATATATTTCATATATATACATATATTTTTAAATGTTTTAGATAATAATATAATTCAGATTCAAGATAAATAAACTAGCAAATTCTTTACATATGTTACATAATGCAATAAAAGTGTTTATGATTTTCTAGAACTATTGAAGAAATGTCATAAAAACGTCATGCAAAGCATTCTAGGACATCGTTTCCAACTTTGCATAATAACTACCTTATTAGTAATATATCAATAACATGTTAGAAAAAAATCCCTTTAAATTCATAACACTGAAAATAACCCAAGCAGTTGCAAAGTACTACGTATAGACATATACATGCAAAGGTTAGGCATTTTTATTAAATGAGCTATGAAGCTCAAACTACTAGGTGTCAATTAGGGTTTGAAAACACGTACACACATCATTCACACAAGAATCTCAGATCACAAGTACTGTATGTGGAAACGTTACATAATTGCAGTAGACAGTGGTTTTAATCTCGCGGCTTTGTATGGACAATACACTGATATACAGATATGTGTTAATTACCTGTACAAGCAGATTACTTAAGGAAGTGAATTTGATCATAAACTGTTATACTTTTCCTGACATATTTAAAACTTGCAAAGTAGTGTAGTTAATGCAACAAATTATGCATAAATTACTTTTATTTCTAAAAAGCCCCTAGCAGTGCTGAACCTGCTATCGATGAGAACGTCAACAAGATCATATTAACCAACTCTGCAGAATCTTTGCCTCCCTACACTGCATCACATCTTCACTACAAACAGCTGCTGAAAAATGTCCTGTGTCGGACTTCGTGTGTAAAGACAGCAGAATATCTGCTTATTTCCCAATATCAGACCAAAAAAATACACCGTTAAAACTTTAGGTACTTTCCAATGGAAAATTATAACTCCTACATTTTTTCCCAGATTCACCTGTCCTATTAATTTTGCTTAGTTTTCCTAAAATATGCATTTCTCTATAGCAGCTGCTAAGGAAGTATAGAAGCTACCTTTATAGTTGTGTCTGCAGCCCCTCAGAGATAAACAATTTTATTTACCTCTATTTAACCAGGAAGTCTCACAAAGATAATCACTTTCTCAAGGAAGACACGGGGGTGGAGGGTGGCTCAGGAAATTGAGTTTAATGCCAACCAAGAAAGAATTTACGTAGGCCAGATTTTCTGCCATCGTCATGCTGGCTAGAGGCTTCACTGCTGCAGTATATAATCTCATCTCCATAGAATGTTCCAGAACCAAGAGCTCATTTCTGCTGAATACTCTAAATGTTAATTAAAAAAATTAAGCTTGAGCTTTCTACTCATCCAGATGTCACTTTCTATAATATGACAGGTCTCAAGGAAAAGAAAAATAAGAAAAATAAAAACTCTTGTGAGTTCACAAGACCCTCGTGTCCACAAAGGCAGAAGACAGTAACATGAAAAGAGGTCTTACAATGTGCTCTTAGATATTTGTGAAACATGAACGTGTTCCATTATGTAGGAAAAAATGCATTGCAAACAATGTACTGTTGAAACAGAGAGCAATGTTACTTAGATAAAGAAGAGAAAAATAGGAATTTAACAGTATTGCCTATCACATAACTACATTTAAATTACCATACATGTGGCTGTGTAGTACAAGTGAGTTTAATATTTATACACAATGTTGCACAGGATGGTTCATAAACTGTTTAATATTGTGAAAGCATCTTGATGACTGGTCGCACATCAGCCAGCACTGCCGAGGTTCCGGCACTTTCTGTCACTCTGGCAACCGCAGCTGTAAGTCTAAGATGATAACGGGTGAAGCCACTCAGCTGACCAGTATTAGTTGTGTGTATGGAGGATTCTTGTAGCAGGTACAGCAATGTCAAAGTGAGCCTGATACAAGTAAAACAGAACATCTGTGTGTCAAATCAAATACTCTCACATGAGATCCAGTATTCTCAGGGACTGACTGAAGAAGAGTCTGAATATACAATACTTTCTAAGGAAAAATTCCAAAGGCATGGTCTGCTTTCTCAACCGCATTTACAATTGTGCTAAATGTTTTCCAGACAGGAAGCCCTATTCATATTTACACTGATAATTGAAAGTCAAGAACAATGGAAAATTTACCTAAATTGTTGTGACAGTACGAAACACCCTTCCGTGCCATGTTGTTGAAACCAATACCTTTCAAGAAACGGCTGGATGCGATTCTTGGATCAATTAACTGCTCACTACCAAAAAGATTAGATGGGCCCAATAGCCTCTTCTCATTTGTTACCTTCTTTATGTTCTTAGTTAACACCTTCTCTTCCGTATCTGGCCACGGGTTGTGATGAATTGCAGCACTACAGCACTGCTAAACTTTCACAATTCCCCTCTTGTCTGATCTAGGCTAGAAAGCAGATCACCAGAACCACGACTAGGCTGACTACTGCCATTACAGCTATCAGGTTTAC